AGAGAGAGAGAGAGAGAGAGAGTTCAAGGGGGAAACGATGCACCTGTGCCTTGGGAGGCTCCTTCCTTTGGCGGTCAGCATCTCGAAGGATATGTTTGAAGAGAACCTGAGGGAGGGAGCTGCAAAGAAAGTATATATGCTCAAAAATTGAGTTGAGCCTCCAAGGAGGCTGCTGTTGTCGGGTGGCCCATTGAATAGTGTTGCTGGTGTTGATTCAACAATGATCCCTTGAGATAGAGGCTCCAAATGAGCGACAAGTTTAAGGCCTTGAGGAGGGTCAAAGCCTCCATTGTGGTGAAATCATGAATTCCAATGGAAGCAGAGAAGGTAAGGATAGTGGCATTGGAATCGGCAAGCGTGCCACCAATGCCAAAGGGCCTTGGATTGCCAAAAAAGGATCTGTCTGTGTGCAGTTTGAGAAAACCTGGGGGGGGGGGGGGGAGGGGCGCAAGAGTTCTTGATCTTGTGGTAGGGGGAGATAAATTTAAGAGGCATTCCCAGTTGACCAAGAAGTGGGTGAGTGGGACAGAGGTAAAAATAGGTATGGGTTTAGCCCAGAGGGAAATAACAACGGTGATGGAATAAAAAATTGATTGTTCGGAAATAAAAACGGTTATGTTCTTTTAATGCAGATAATATTCCTTTCTCTTTTGTTTGCTTAATTGTATACACTGTCTTTATTTATTTTATTTTTTCGGTTTCGTTTTTTTGGAAATAGTATCATAGATATTGGTATTGGAGCGTTCACTAGGCTCTTCTTCTTGGCATCATATGTGCTTTGTGCCTTGCTTTTGTTGGATCTTGACACTTAGAAAATGATCTTGACATTTGGAGGCAATTGATGACTTTAACTTGCTTTCTTCTTATGTTCACTGATTATTCTGAGGCACAATTCTTTTCAACACATGCTTTTGCACTTGCTCTTGTTGAATTTTGACATAATATAAATTGGGAACTTAAATAGTTAGTTGTGGTCACTTCCCAATCAACTAGTTTCTTGTCCTTCAGTATTCAGACAAACGATAGATAAGTGAGGAAAGAGCACGAGATGGAGTGTATGAAGGGAATTGCAATCAGAGATTCACTTTCTGTAGGTCAAATATGTACCTTGATTTCTGGCATACATCAACCTTATGGCCATGTTTTTACCATCCCTAGCAAAGGCTCAAGAAAAAGTATTCCTAAAAGCACAACATGCTCTATAGCCCATCACCGGGTTTGTCATGTCATCAGCCCAAGGGGGAAGTTAGCGAATACCTCCCTCTTTCATCTTGATCCTCCTATATCTTGCTACCTCTCTCACTGTTTCCAGAAGAAAACACAACATGCTCTATAAGCCAGCATCGGGTTTGTCATTTCACCAATCCAAGGTGAAAGTTTGCGAACATCTCCCTCTTTCATTTTGATCCTCATGGATAAATTCCCGTGTTCTTTCACCATCTCTCTCACTGTTTCCAGAATAATATTCGGAATGTAGTTTAAGAAAGCAAAGGCCGCTGGGAATGGGGTTGGGGCATTGGTAGTTAGGGCGGTGGACGCCTCAACATAACGTCCCACACTCCATTCCCACTGTTAACATATCAAAAACAAAAAAAAGAGAAAAAAAGAACAAAAAAAACAAAAGGAAGAGAAAAAGCTGCTGATGCCACGATTCCATTACCATGGTGCTGTTTACTTCTAGGAAGCCATCAGCCTAATGTTTGGCCATACAAGTTTCTTTGTTTTTACAAATGACATGATTAGAGAAGTTGGTGAAGAACTTAGAATGTTTGCGTCATGGCAAAGCAATGTTGATACTCTTCAATGGTAGTCATAATCCAAAATCAATGCTAATAAATTTGGAGCCTTGATCGACGTCAAATACAAAGATGGATTTTCTGTACATATATTCATTGAGTTAATGGATTGGATGGAGGAGACTAATTATTTCTCCAAACTTGATCTCTAATCTGAATATCTCTAGAGCCAAGTCAAAGAGGTTAGCAAGATAATCTTTCTAACTTATGAAGGCCATCATGAGTTTATAGTTGTACTCTTTGGATTCATCATGCTCCTTTAATCTTTAGATGTGTAATGACCAAGTTAATTGATCCATACCTGAGGAGATTTAGTTCAGTATTTTCTGGTGACACATTTGACTTATGGTAAAGACATGCTAATAATTGTTTTTAATGTGAAATGAAAAAGGATGTTTTAGCTCACCCCTTATTAATCCAAATTAGGATATTTTTTAGATTTCTATTTTATGTTTATTTTAGTATCTTTTAGGTTGTTGTTATTTAGCAGGATTATGATATGAATATATGTTGAACATCAATCACATCAAAAAAAAAAAAAAGTTGAAAATCAAAAGGGATTGGATGACTACGATTTCATAAGAACTTTTAAGTTTTTAGGGTTTTTCAGAATGCAAAGCTATTTGAATGGTGGTATTAGTGGGGTTGAAAAGAGACTTGGATTATTTACTCTTTGTTCATGAATTTCAACGAGACTTGGATTATTTACTCTTTGTTTATGAATTATTTTCTATGGCATTTCTTTTGCACATCATAATGTATTTATATTCGTATTTGCATCAGAAGGTAAATTTGATTGAAAGGCGAACTTACTGAAACACGGACGCACGCTCTGACCAAATCCTTTTTTGTTCTATGTAGTTACCTGTCAATAATTGTAAAAGGGGAAGAATTAATGCCTGATGTTCCCCTAATTTGAACTGGTGATGATAAGAGTCAGACATGTAGAATTCTCCTTGAAACTTGACGAAATCCTTTTCTGTCTTAGCTTGAAGGTTTCAAAATTGAAATAATACCATGTGCTGTTGACTATAGAATATACAGCAGGAGTACTGTCACAATCTTTAAGTATGTCATTAATCTATGCAAAGAGTTTGGTGTCATGCAAAGTCAAGTGTGCCCTTGATTTCATGGCCAACTATAGTGGTTCTTGTCACACTCCCAAATATCGCATTTTTGTAATTGGAACAAATTTTCATTTCTTACTACCATAGAGAGTAATGTTTCCATGACAGATTGAAAAGGTTTACTTTCATGAGTCTCTCATGTAAAACCCTGAATTTGCCTGCTATGAGTCCATAAGAGTGGCTGGAAGACCATCCACTTGTGTTTCATATTTACTATGTGAGATTCTTTAATTCATGATACCATATCCGTGCACAAGAAATATCTATTTAGATGATGAAATGTCTGAATGCTTGGTACCATGGTTCCAAGATCTGTTATTCATGAAGAGCAAAGAACGTGACTGCCACCCTTGTTAAAGTATTTGGACATATGGTTCCACGGAAGGGAAAATAAATAAGATTTGTGCAAGCAAAAGTGTGGCTCTTTCGAAACCTGCTTATGAATGGACTATAGTAAAAGTTCTGTTTTGGCGACCACCGTAGTGTCAATAACTAGCCTTCCTTTAATGTGCCCATTGTTCGCAAAATTGCCTGATCTAACCGCTAACCGCTTGGTTAGATTGGAACCGGCCAGTGGCCGAATCCAGGCGGTTAGGGTGATCAACTGGTATTTTTTTTAAAAAAAAATTCAAGCAAATGTATATAAATTCTCAAAAATAAGGAATTTGATTTGTAGTGTATTTTTAAATATTCTTTACATTATAGTAAAGATTAAAATTTGTTTTGGTCATTAATACTCACTTTTATATTTTCTCATCTTTTTTATAAAATTTTAAAAATAAAAATTTGTTTTGGTCATTAATACTCACTTTTATATTTTCTCATCTTTTTTATAAAATTTTCAGAATAGCCCTTGGAAAATATAAAATGGGTTAAAATCCATTTTTTTCATTAATTTTCAACTTCATTTGAATGTGTTTTGTTTTAATCAATCTTTATATGCTTTTCATATTTTAGTAGATTTTTTTTTGTAATTTTTTTATTTTTTTTAGCACTTTTTTGTTTGCCCGGGACTTGCCTGATTAGAGCGGTTGAATCGGCCGGTTTACCGGTTAGGCCAGTTAAACAGCTTCCAGGCCCATGCCTGGTTAACCGTTCCGGTTCGATTTTGCAAACACTGAATGTGCCCTTCTAAATCAGTTTTCTAAGAATTGGAGTTTAGGGAAATATTTTTCTGTAAGCCAAGCCCACATGGATGATTCTTGAATCCTTAGTAAATGTGCATGTTGGCAAATGATACTAATGGAATAAATACTATGGATATCACTTTCAAAAGAATCTCCCTCTTCTGAAATTATCTATGAAGATTTGGGGGGAAAAAATTGGCCTGGGCAGCAAAGATTTGTTATTACTTTTACATAGAGATGTAGAAAAAAAAACATGATTTATGGGAAAAAAGAGCTACTCTATGGCCATCTTTTATAGAGAGGAGTAACAGTAAGACCATAGGTTGGGTATGTAGAGAGAGAAAGTGCCACCCTTGGTTGTATACCTATGGTACCGATCATATTCTTTACTTTTCTCTCATAAGAGATCTTAAATTTTGGTCTGGACCGTCCACATTGTGAACACCGGTGACTGGAATTTGAAAATGTGCCTAAAATGTATGAAAATCTTGCTATTGATACTCATGATGTTTCGGGAAGTATCATTGGATGAAATTGGGAGAGAATCACATTAACGACTGAATCACATTAATCACATCGAATGAAGTATCATTGGATGAAATTTTTAAATATGTTATGATCTATACCATGAAAAATGTACATAGGGTCTACGATCTTTGAGGACGTCACGAGCATAAATAGTTGATGATGATGACTCTCCGATCTTTGAGGATGGATTTCACAGAGCCATCCACAACCATAATATGCAATATGTTGAATTTCTCATAATGCTGAGGTCCTAGGAAAAAGTAATAACCTTGGGTTTTGATTCCATATGGGATAAGCATTGTAGGAGAATGAATAATCCTTCTTAAATGAAATGAGGATAAGTACCTCTTGTATTTATGTGTAAATAATCAACACACCAAAATATTCTATGCTGTTTCTCCATGTATTTGTAACAATGAATGATAGAAAAACAACGAAATGAACATCCCATTTATCCATTTCCATTGAACAAAATACAAAGCATAAAATGGTCAAAAGTATAAACTTCTGCCAGAGACTAGGATGAGTTTAAAGAGTAAATGAATCTAGACATAATTTTTTTAGACATGTATGATACTTATTTTTTCAAGGCTCTATTTGTTTTCATGAATGATTTTCTAAGGCTCTTATTTTCCGAAAATCAGAAAAGTAGATGGGTCGTCTAAGTGTCACATGTCCTAGCTGTTGTTTCTCAAGGTCAACTTCCTTCGAATCTACTCTCCTTTGTTGCTGAGATGATCCAATTGCCTTTGTACAACTAAAAATTGTGGAAGGAATATACATTTTATTCAAGGGATATGTGGTAAGACCAGCATATTTAAACTATTACAAAAATGAAAAGAGTATTTAAAGTTTTAAACTGCTGCTATTTTGGTTTACATCAGACGCGGCTATAAGCTTTCATATGGACTTGATTTGTGAATTTGCTTTGTGATGTTACTGAACATTCGAGGTGGCTTTCTTCTACTTATAAAAAGAATGTTGTTTTTCTTTGTGTTACCTTGTAATTCATGATGTGTCAGAAATTTTGTTGGAGTAATTGCTTTGTGTATGCTACATTGTGAAATATTGTTCTTCTCTTCTCCTTATGTTTGTGTAAATCCAGATTCCATTTAAACTTTATTATGTGTATGCAAAGTTAAGAGAGAATCTTTTATAATCATCTTCCATACTCATATAACAGTGCGACATTTTCCTAATGCTGATGAATTGATGTTATTAGGAACTGTAAAAAAGCTAAGGAAACCAAAACCATGGAAACACACTCAGTCCATAACAAGGATGCAGCTCAGGCAGATGCGTGATGAGTTCTGGGATACTGCTCCCCATTATGGTGGCCAGAAAGGTAAGATCTGTTAGAAAAACATAAAAAATGAAGCTGCTTGGTTGTATTAATTATGTAAGATCTGTTAGAAAAACATAAAAAATGAGGCTGCTTGGTTGTATTAATTATGTAAGACTGTGAATTTGTTATCACTTTCAGTCTTATACCTATAAAATATTCATATGCATTGTTATGATAATATGTGATCAACAAGGATTAACATTTAGTAAATCTGCTTGTGTCATGAATTTTTGAGAAGAATGCATTAGAACAAATAAATCCTAGAGGAGACTATGTCAAGGACTTGTATATTGAGTTTTAACTTATAACATATAAGAGTTAAGCAATTTCAAAAAAAAAATGAAATGTAATAGTTAAAACTCAATGTAGAAGAAGCCTTTAACATGGTCTCCTTTAAAAATCATTTTTTCTATTAGATTCTCCATTTGTTTTAATGTATAACATGTAAGATATTTCTCAAGAAAAGGAAATCTCAGAAAAAAGAAATTATAGCATATAAGAGAGGAAGCCTATGATGTAATACACAGCAATATGTTTCTCAGAGTGTTTGTGGTATTTTTTGATAACTGTGGTAGCTCACAGCTAAGAGATCCTAGAAATGATAATCCACAAACGTAACCTTGAAAAGAACATGAAATGTGACACTAGTGGGTTAAAGGGAGAAAAAGAAAAAGAAATAACAAGAGGAAAATGAAGCAGAGTTTATGAAGCTCGAGAGCACTATGAATAAGCGTGCTTGAACAGCATAAGGTTTGTAATCATTCATTCATCCGGCTGAGGTTGTCATCCAAGGTGAGCAGTTCTGGACCTTATTACCTCTTACCTCATTTGTAGGTGTATCTTTTGGTAGTGAAAGGGTAGGAGTTCATAGTAATTGGTGATGTACATGAAAATCTGGGTCAATTGTGTGTTCCATACCCTTGTTTGGGGTTGTTTGGTAACACACTTGAACAACTTGGAAACGACCATATCGTCCTTGAAATTAAAGATCATGAAATTGATTTTCAATTATCTGGAACCATGGAAAGATCCTTGATAGAGCAATCCAAAGTAGGACAAGCTTAGGAACATGACAAGAGTTAGGTCTGCTGCATAGTGATTAGTGTCTCGGCAAACTCGACAGTTTAGATCAATGGGTGACCACAGAGGTCCAAAATTGGTGGACGGTCTAGGATAATGTTCTCAAGAAGGATTTCTGTGTTTTGATTTAAAAGAAATGGGTTTTGGTGGCATCTGTGCATCTATTCCAGAGCCACAGAAATTTGAAGTTCGCCTCCATGGCAAACTTGCAGAAGGAGGCTAGATGAATTGCAAGAGGGGAAAAATCTTGAAGTGAAAGCCTAGGAGGTTTTTTTTAAAATTTTCTGTAGAGTTTGTGGAACCAGACTTGAGTTCTTTAAATGTCCTTGTAATCATGGATCAAAGGTGATCCTTTCTTTGTATTTAAAGGTTGGTGTAAATGAAACAAGTTCCTTAGGAGTGCTTGAAACTCTTCACAAACCCATATTTAATTGAAAAGCTCTCGATTATTTTGCAATCTTGAGTGATTTTTTCATTGGGTTTTGTTCAATCTTGGTCTATGCGTTCTGAGCCTTATTTCTCTTCAAAATTTTCTTAGTACATACTTTTACGAAACAACTGCAAATAAACATGTTTGTTCTATATGAACTTGTTCCCCTTCATGTAAAAAACAAATTTTCTTTTTAATTTGCAGTTTCATAATTAACTATATAACCTTTGTCTTTATTGTGGAAGTGCCTTTTTTTGTTGTGCGCACGCTAAAGCTGGTGGGTTTAAAATGCTTCTTGTTCTTCATGGCCTTCTATGAAGCATAATTGTAATCATTGATATCTTGCTTAGTAGCAAATCTTTTGGAGTTGAAAAGACAGATGAGTGTGGGGAGTGAAAATTCATAAGAACAAAGTGAGAGACTTATGTATTTTTGTAGTTAGCAGGATTGGGAGCGAGGTCAGATCTCGGACTGGGATTGGGACCATGGGATCGAGAGATGCACGGAGACCTATGGGATAAAGATTGAGATCCGTACACTGAGTTAAAGGGATTGTGATCCCAATATGAATGAGCGTGATCCAATTTGTCTAGTATCGAATGATAACGATCGATATGGAACTGAGGTCGTCCAGCTTAGAACCGATATACTCCTCAAGAGAACTTAACTAAGGTATTCTTGCTTGGAAACAAAGTCCATTGAATGATATAATTAATGTTTTTTCTGAACTCATAAACCAAATATCATTAAATACAAAGAATCCTGCTTTTAAAATATTTTTTAATTTTTTGTTATTGGAGTGTGTTTCATAGGTGAGAATTCAAACTGAAAACCCAAAATGAGGATTCAAATTTTAGTCCCCTGTGTTTGATGAAAATACAGTGTCCTTGTACGTGTGGTTGGGCATGCAACTGGTCAAACACTCTCTAGATTCAGAGGAAGAAAAGCGGTCCAGAGGGAAAGAAAGGTTCAACCTGCAAAGATCTCTTATGGTGGATATGGTCAACAATAGGGCATTAGAGACAAAGATCAATTGTGTAAAGCATATAGATCTTCTAAGTGAATGAAAAGGATTTAGGGTAGGACATGGTGAAGCTTTAGCTTTGCACCTGTCCTACATCTACAGGTTCCATAACGTAATATATCAGCAGCTTGTATGTTATGGTGTTTATTTTCATGACTTACAAGTTTAAAGTTCAAACTTCAAGCTTCAACCTTTGTTGTGGGCACTGGGACTGTTTCTCAACTGATTGATCTCTATACTGAAAGCCAGTTCAGATTCCAGAATTTTTAGAGAAATATGCAGAGAGAGAGAGGGAGAGATTATGGGCTAGGGAGTTAGAAAGAGGATCGGTGGGGAAAGCGAGGTGGTTAATGCATGGGACTCGTAATGTTTTGGTGAACTTTGTTACCAATGTAAAAGAAACTCGAATTCCATGTTGGTGGAGGATCGATTCTACTTACCCATGGACCCATTGGATGAAAGGGATCTGGATCCCATTATTCCAAGGATCTAGGTGCCCAATTTTGCCCGATCGAGATCCCTAAATTTAAAAAATGTCTGGAATCGAGATCCTTTGTCCTGGAGGACAGGATGGAATTCGTGGAGCTGAACCGACCACCTTCTTGGGAGATCCTAGTAACTGTGAATTTTTCCTTATGAGAGAATATTGACCTTAGTTTTCTAGACCTCCCAACTCAGTGGCACTCCCGACAACTGGACTAGAATGTAAATTGACTACTGGCTTCTGACATATTAGGTATATATGGTGAAGAAAAAATCTCTGTTACTTTATCAAGCCATCTAAACAAAAGCTTTCCAATCCTCGTTTTATGTGGGGGATCTACACTAGAGTGGAAGACTATCCCTCTTGGACAATAAACCTAGAGATTCATGATATGCCTCCCTGCACCATCCTTTCAACCATAAGATATAATTGCAACCTCAGTTCTATGTGACATTTGTTTGTATTTGTCATGGAATGCAGCTACCTTCTCATCCAAGCAAAGACCTGCATGCTCTTTAGTACTTAAGCCTTTAAATCCCTGCCCTGCTTGGGCTATAGTGGATATCATCGATTCAATGGGATGGAAGCATCATGTAACTACTTCACAACCACCTGGTTTATCTTATCCTTGCTTTACTTTCCCTATGAGCATAAGGTTTTTGCTCATATTGAGGAATATTAAGGTGTCATTTCGACCTTAGGTGGGCTTAATAGTAGAAAGTTGGGCTTGGGAAGACTAGGAAGTAGTAGAGGTTTTTAGTTTGGTGTGAAACCTAAGGAGTCTTGGAGGACACACTGAGGTACTACTGGTTTGGGAGGTAGACTACTGGAAGCTCTCGCCAGTGTTAGCATACATGACCTCCATATGGAGCTGCCTAGCTTTCATATCTGCTACACTAGACCTTGTTGCACACTCCATTTGGGTCTCAAAATTTCTTCTCTTCCTCTTATGATGGTACATAGTACACTATCTTCGTTAGTACCCTCTGTCTTTGCACCTTATTTCCTTTTGCCATCTTGATAGCTTTTTGTATATGCCCCTTAACTTGCACATGCACCTCAGTTTATAGTTAAACATCACCCTAGTTTTTGCGAGGTGATATTTTAGGTGATTGACAATGCTCCTCATCTCCTTTTGACACTGTGCACACCTCACCCACCCCCTACCCTTCTCTAGTAGCTTCACCTTATGCTGCCATGGTGGATCCTCCCTTGAGATCTCCTAAACCTACAAAAGCATGCATGCTGTTATGAACACGCAACCAAGATATTTTTACATAGATCTAAATATGAAAAAAAGTTAAATTTTATATACATATTAAATTTTATATACATCAAAATATGTATATAAAATTATGTTAGAGGCAACATTCAAAACATATCATATTAGCAACATTAAGAAAAAGAAATCCCATTAGCAACATTGTTTTAATACATGTAATAAAATATCTTTTTATAAATCAAAACATGAAGCAAAATCTATTCCTCAATTTCTTGGGATAGTATACTACTTTGAAAGCAATTGAGCAACACTGAACATGAGGTCAATGCTATGTGGAATGCGATGGCCGACAATATTAAGAAAGTGGCAAAATAAATTTTAGGAGAAATTAGAGGGAAAAGAAATTCCGATAAGAAAACTTGGTAGTGGATTGATGAGGTTCAGAATACCATTGGTGAAAAACAATCATGTTATTAAACTTGGCAATGTAATAAAAATGATTAAAACTAAGACGAATATAAAAATGCTAAGAAAAATACTAAACAAATAGGAAGTAAGGCTAAACTTAAGGCTTATGATAATATATAGTAAACTGGAAACAAGAAAAGGTGAATAAGATGTTATCAAATTAGCAAAAAATGAAAGAGAAAAAGTGTAGGGATCTAGACTATATTAAATACATTTAAGAGTGAGAATAAAATGGTCTTAGTGAAAGATGAAGAGGTCAATGAAAGTTGGAGAGTTTATTTTCAAAAATTAT